TCTATCTATCTATCTATCTATCTATCTATCTATCTATCTATCTATCTATCTATCATCTACCTACCTGTCTATCAATCAATCTATCTATCTATCTATCTATCTATCTATCTATCTATCTATCTATCTATCTATCTATCCATCATCTACCTACCTGTCTATCAATCTATCATCATTATCTATCTATCTATCTATCTATCTATCTATCTATCTATCTATCTATCTATCTATCTATCTATCCATCCATCCATCTATCAATCTTTCTATCTATCATCTAAATATCTATCATCTATCATCTCCATCTTCTATCAAACACTGATCTCAGAAATGAGACCTGATATTTTTTTTAAAAAAATAATAATGAAGAGGTTACGATTAGAATGAATCTGCAGACACTTTCTTAACTTTTAAATCTTCTGGGAGTCTATCCCAGACTGTTGAATCTTCCCCAAGGGGTCCATTAGTGCAAGGAGGCGTCTCTATCCGTGAACGTGCCATGGCTGAAAGAAAAACCCCAGCGGCTTCACCCTCCCGTAGAGAAACAGATGTAGTGACCTGATTGTGACTGACCACAGTGCAAACATGTTGTCCTGGTTTGACTTTCTTCCGCTGTGTCCCCATGTTGCTTTTGTGGCTTTTAGGGAGCAGTTGACTCTTCAAGGGCTGAAATGAAGCGATTGGACCACCTTTTGTCTGAAATGGTATGTGCAGGGGGTTGGACTAGAAGACCTCCGAGGTCCCTTCTGTATTTTAATGACATCTTTCCACTTTTCCATGTTTGTCTATCTGTTGTGTGTCTGTCTATCATCTATCTATCTATCTATCTATCTATCTATCTATCTATCTATCTATCTATCTATCTATCTATCTATCTATCGTCTATCTATCATCTATCTATCTCTATCTATCTATCGCTATCTAATCTATCTATTTATTAATCATCTATCTCTATCTCTATCATCTATCTATCATCTATCTATCTATCTCTATCTATCTAATCTATCTATCTATCTATCTATCATCTATCTATCATCTATCTCTATCTCTATCATCTATATCTATCTATCTATCATCTATCTCTATCTCTATTATCTATCTATCATCTATCTATCTCTATCTAATCTATCTATCTATCTATCATCTATCTCTATCTCTATCATCTATCTCTATCTATCTCTATCTATCTATCATCTCTCTATCATCTATCATCTATCTATCTATCTATCTATCTATCTATCTATCTATCATCTATCTCTATCTCTATCATCTATTATCTATCTCTTTCTATCTATCTATCTATCTATCTATCTATCTATCTATCTATCTATCTATCTATCATCTATCTCTATTATCTATCTATCATCTATCTATCTCTATCTAATCTATCTATCTATCATCTATCTCTCTATCATCTATCATCTACCTATTTCTATCTATCTCTATCTAATCTATCTATCTATCTATCTATCTATCTATCTATCATCTATCTCTATCATCTATCATCTATCTCTCTATCTAATCTATCTATCTATCTATCATCTATCTCTATCTCTATCATCTATCATCTATCATCTATCTATCTCTATCTATCTAATCTATCTATCTATCTATCTATCTATCTATCTATCTATCTATTTATCTTTTATCTTATATCTATCTCTATCATCTCTATCTATCTATCTATCTATCTATCTATCTATCTATCTATCTATCATCTATCTCTATCTCTATCATCTATCTCTATCTATCTATCTATCTATCTATCTATCTATCTATCTATCTATCTATCTATCTATCTATCTATCTATCATCTATCTCTATCTCTATCATCTCTATCTATCTATCTATCTATCTATCTATCTATCTATCATCTATCTCTATCTCTATCATCTATCTCTATCTATCTATCTATCTATCTATCTATCTATCTATCTATCTATCTATCTATCTATCTATCTAATCTATCTATCTATCTATCATCTATCTCTATCTCTATCTCTATCTCTATCTATCTATCTCTATCTATCTAATCTATCTATCTATCTATCTATCTATCTATCTATCTATCTATCCATCCATTGATCTATCAATCTACAACATTATCTATCTATTGATCTCTCTCTCTCTCTCTCCCTTTCTTTCTTTCTTTCTTTCTTTCTTTCTTTCTTTCTTTCTTTCTTTCTTTCTTTCTTTCTCTCCCTCTCTCTCTCTCCCTCCCTCTCTCACACAGAATACAGAATAACAGAGCTGGAAGAGACCTCAGAGGTCATCTAGTCCAACCCCCTGCTCAAGCAGGAGCCCCTGTACCATTCCAGATGAATAGTTGTCCAGTCTCTTCTTCAAAACCTCCAGTGATGGAGCACGCTCAACTTTTGAAGGCAAGTCCCAAAGGTGCTTTTTCAAGAGGCAAGTGGACTTCCTGGTTTTTTTCTTTGAAGACGTTTCGCTTCTCATCCAAGAAGTTTCTTCAGCTCTTGGATGAGAAGTGAAAAATCTTCAAAGAAAAAACCAGGAAGTCCAGTTGCCTCTTGAAAAAGCACCTTTGGGACAACTGTGACCTGGATGACTGAAAATCTCCATACTCATTTCTGGTGGCAAGCCGTTCCAATGGTTAATGGTCCTTGCTGTTGGGAAATTTCTCCTTAATTTCTTTTTTTTTTTTTAATTTGATTTATATGCCGCCCTTCTCCGGAGACTCAGGGCGGCCTACAATGTGCTAAGCAATAGCCTTCATCCTTTTATATATTTTATACAAAGTCAGCTTATTGCCCCCACAAACTGGGTCCTCATTTCACCTACCTTAGAAAGAATAGAAGGCTGAGTCAACCTTGAGCCTTGGCGAGATTCGAACCTGCAGTAATTGCAGGCAGCTGGTCTTAATAACAGGGTGCTTTAGACCACTGTACTACCAAGGCTCTATGGCTCCTCCCTGTGATTAATTTCCATCCATTATTTTTTGTCCTGCCCTCTGGTGCTTTGGGAAATAAGTGGACCCCCTCCTCTTTGTGGCAGCCCCTCAAATATTGGAAGACCGCTATCCTGTCTCCCACATCTCTCACCTCTAAGCCAATTTACAGACAGTCCTAGACTTACGACCACCATTGAGCCCAAAGTTTCCGTTGCTAAGCGTGAGAGCTGTTATGTGAATTCTGCCCTGTATTATGACTTTTCTTGCCACAGCCATTAAGTGAGTCCCTCCAGCTTTTAAATTAGTAAAACACGGTTGTTAAGTGAATCCAGCTTCCCCGTGGACTTTGCTCATCAGAAGGTCGCAAAAAGAGGATTGTGTGACCCCGGGACACTGCAACCGTCATAAACACGAATCAGTTGCTAAGTGTCCCCATTCTGATTACATAAAACCATGCATGGGGATGCCGCAACGGTCACAAGTCTGACAAATGGCCATCCATCACTTTTTTCAGTGCCGTTGTCTCTCAATGAATGGACTGCCTGTATTAGAATAGAATAGAATAACACAATTGGAAGGGACCTTGGAGGTTTTCTAGTCCAACCCCCTGCTTAGGCAGGAAACCTAACACCCAGAGGTGGACTGCTGAAGGTTCTCAGGGGCACAGGAGAACCTCTAGGTAAGATTCTGTGCAGTCCGGAGAACCCCTAAATCCAGTGGTGGGATTCAAATAATTTAACAACCGGTTCTCTGCCCTAATGATCTCTTCCAAAAACCAGTTCACCAAACTGCTCAGAAAGTTAACAACTGGTTCTCCCGAAGTGGTGCGAACTGCCTGAATCCCACCACTGCCTAAATCCCATTTCTGGCTAGCCCTACCCACCCCTCCCCTCCCAGGAGTCCCCACGTGGCCCGTTTTGGATGCAGGTAAGTGCAGGGTGCATGCTGTTTTGGCTCCGTTACCTGAGCCTGTGTCATTGGCAGGAGAGGACTCCGAGAGTGAAGGAGAGGAGTTGGCAAGGCCTCCCTCTCCAGGACCCTCCTCTCTGGCAATGCCTTCGATGTCCACCGAAGGGCAAGAGATAGGGCCGGGGCCAAGCACGTCCACACAGCCACAGGTGGACAGTGATGAGGGTAATGAGTCTTGGCTGGATCCACGCCAGCGTCGCAGAAATAAGCGCATGCAACAGGAAAAAAGGCGTGCCCGAGATTAGGCTGAGTCACTGGACCACACCCCACAGGGTATAAAAGGGAGCGTGGTGGCCAGTCAAACCTTGTGACGAACAAAGCTGAAAGCTTCCACGCCATTCTACATTGCCGGACTTTTTGCTATAGACTTTGCTGGATTATCTCTGGACTTGATTGACTCCGTAATTATTGAGCTGTTTCTTTTGATGTATCAGAAGTGGGGAGAAGTTATCTCTCCTCTTCGTAAATAATAAACTCTTGGCAGGCAGCCACTAGGTTGTTGCCAAGTTCTGTTATCATAAGGAAAAGGACTTTGCCGGCTGGTTTGGTCTTTAACTCTTGAACGTCTGTTGGTGTGTGTGTGCGTGTGGTTGGGGACAGAACACATGCGGGGGCTTGGAGAAGGTGAAAAATGGGCCTACTGGAAGTTTAGGGCCTGTTTCCGGCCTCCAGAGGGCATCCGGAGCCTGGGGAGGCCATTTTCACCCTCCCGGAGGCTTGAGGAAAGCCTCCAGAGCCTGGGAAGTGCAAAAACATCCCCACCCCACCATGGTGCAGGAGGCCGACCAGGCCACACCCACCATGGCCACGCCCACCCAGCAACCAGGCAGAGAACCCCTTGCTAAAAATTTTGAAGCCCACCCCTGCCTACATCACTTCAGACAAATTGTTATCCAACATCTTCTTAAAAACTTCCAGTGTTGGAGCATTCACAACTTCTGCAGGCAGGTAGTTCCACTGGTGAATTGTTCTCCCTGTCAAGAAATTTCTCCTTAGTTCTAAGTTGCTTCTCTCCTTGATGAGTTTCCACCCGTTGCTTCTTGTCCTGCCCTCAGGGGCTTTGGAGAATAGCTTGACTCCCTCTTCTTTGGGGCAGCCCCTGAGATATCGGAACCCTGCTATCACATTTCTTCAGCCGAGCAGCTCACCTGTTCTGGTCCTGGAGTTTGTGGATCTCGCTGGTTTGCACCAGGAGCTGCCGTTCCAACTTGTTCGTGGAGAGCGAATTCTCCAGGAGTTGTATTTCGATGCGTGAAGTTTGGTTCAGCACCTAAGCGTGGAGCACAAAAGAAGCCAAGATTAGGGTTGGAAACTTAGCTGGAGATCGGCGGGTCCTTTCCTCAGCCGCCAGAGCGAAACCAGAGAGAAGGATGACCAAGGACAATTTTTATGGAGTTCAGCCTCAGAATGGACACAACCATGGAGAGCAGCAAAACCCCAGCAGCAAAAACAGCAGTCACCTACAAGAGACAGTGTAAGGACTGTAACACTCCCTATGTGGTCCCAAAGGTGCTTTTTTCAAGAAGCAACTGGACTTTTCTTGTTTTTCTTTGAAGAGGTTTCGCTTCTCATCCGAGAAGCTTCTTCAGCTCTGACTGGATGGTGAAGGAAGGGAAGGATTGATACTCCTTGCAGACAAAGCTGGTCATTTGCATCCTTGGAGAGAGTCATTGAGGCCACTTGGAGGTTTATATGTGTCCTCAGGGTCTCCTGAGTCGTGCAAATGGGCCCTGTAGTCTGCAATTTTTTGGGGGGAAATCCGTTCCTACTCCCACACCATTCGGTGAGATGCGAAATGTCTTCAAACAAACAAACAAACAAACAAACAAACAAGAAAAGTCCAGTTGCCTCCTGAAAAAGCACCTTTGGGACATCCACGACCTGTATGACTGAGAATCTCTGTAGACTTTTAGTCCCTATGTAGGATCAACAAGAGCGTGTTCATGAACATCACCTGTCAGTCAGAATGTCAACTTGCAAAGCTTTCAAGTTGCCATGAGCAGGAGGGAGGGAGAACTGAAGTGCATTCCATACATTCTTCCTGACCGCAATCAGAAGGAGGGTGTTAGGTTTCACAGCCAGCCAAAGTGGTTAATTGGAGAATGTGATTTATGACATGGCCAGGGGGGAGGGGAGAGACAGGGTCATAGGGGAACGTAAATCTACGTAGGATCAGTCCTAACTGCATCCCAGTATTGCCAGAATGTTGCTCCTAAATAAATGACTGTATTTCCTTTGAAGTTTGGATCATGGCTCCTGAATTAATTAGGGCATCTTTCGGAAACTTGACACAGAGGATGTGACAAGCACTCCATAATTACACAGCACGTGGGACAGACGTCACCAGAGTTTCAGCAGGGAAACTGGGAGCATCTTAGACCAAGCCAAGGGCAAAAATGCTAGAGAATTCCTGGAAGCTCCACACGCTTCCTCTTCTTCTTCCTTCTCCTCCTCCCTCCCTCCCTTCTCATTCTCCTCCACTCCACAAACCCCACTTCTTTCTAGCACTGATGATGTTACTTAGCTGTCTCATAAAATGTCTGCAAGGGAACCACCAAGCTCAGAGAGCACCAAGGACCCTGCTGTCCGCCACTTCTTCCTCCTCTTCCTCCTCCTCCTCCTCCTCTTCCTCTTCCTCCTCCTCTCCTCCTCCTCTCCCTCTTCCTCCCCACAAACCTCATTCTCTTCTAGCACTGATGATGTTACTTAGCTGGCTCATAAAATGTCTGCAAGGGAACCACCAAGCTCAGAGAGCACCAAGGACCCTACTGTCCTCCACTTCCTCCTCCTCTTCCTCCTCCTCCTCCTCCTCTTCCTCTTCCTCCTCCTCTCCCTCTTCCTCCCCACAAACCTCATTCTCTTCTAGCACTGATGATGTTACTTAGCTGGCTCATAAAATGTCTGCAAGGGAACCACCAAGCTCAGAGAGCACCAAGAACTCCACTGTCCTCCACTTCCTCCTCCTCCTCCTCCTCCTTCTCCTCTTCCTCCTCCTCCCCACAAACCTCATTCTCTTCTAGCACTGATGATGTTACTTAGCTGAGTCATTAAATGTCTGCAAGGAAACCCCCAAGCTCAGAGAGCACCAAAGACCCCACTGTCCTCCTCCTCTTCCTCCTCCACCTCCTCCGCTTCTTCCTCCTCCTCCTCCTCCCCGCAAACACCATTCTCTTCTAGCACTGATGATGTTATCTAGTTTGGTAGTGAAATATTTGCAAGAAAACCAAGTTCAGAGAACACAAAGGATCCCACAGTTGTTCCCCTCCTCCTCCTCCTCCTCTCCTCCTCCTCCTCCCCCTCCTCTTCCTCATCCTCATAACTTAATAAATTGCTGATTAATTCTATTCCAGTGAAATTTTAAATACGGTATATGAGAAGAACTGCAAAGTGGTTTTGTTTTGGTCTAAGAGGAACTTAAAGCCAATTCCAAGAACAAATGTCCAGAAATCCAAACGGAATAGTTGGCAAAGTTTTCTTTCCTTTGCAGAGTCGGCTGAAAGTTAAATGCTTCTAAATATGTGTAATTTCTCCCCCCCCCCCACACCTTCAAACTGCCCCCCCCCATGTCATCAATCACCTGAGTCTCCACATCGGTCAGTTTTCGTGTCTGTTCAGCTGTTTGGCTCAGAAGATTGGTGCCAATTTCCAATATGGCCGCCGTCTGGTTCTGTACCACATTCTGTTGGATGTGGGCCATCTCCGTCTTGATGTTCATCTGAATGAAGTTCTCCAGCTAAAGAGAAAACAGCCACATCAATATGAGAAGGAAGGGTTTCTGAGCTGTCTTCTCCCCAGCCAACATTATGCCAATATTGAGAGCTAGTTTGGCGCAGTGGTTATGGTGCTGGCTTAGAAACCAGGAGATGGAGAGTTCTAGCACTCCTTAAGGCATGAAAGCCAGCTGAGTAACTTTGGGCCATTCACCTGGAGATGGAGATTTCTAGTTCTGCCTTGTCCAGCCTATCAAAGAGAAGGACTAGGGGAGACATGATAGCAAGTGTTCCAATATTTGGGGGGCTGCCCCAAAGAAGAGGGAGTCAAGCTATTCTCCAAAGCACCTGAGGGCAGGACAAGAAGCAATGGGTGGAAACTAATCAAGGAGAGAAGCAATTTAGAACTAAGGAGAAATTTCCTGACAGTCAGAACAATTAACCAGTGGAACTGCTTGCCACCAGAAGTTGTGGGTGCTCCATCACTGGAGGTTTTTAAGAAGAGACTGGATAATCATTTGTCTGAAATGGTATAGGCTTGAGGGGGTTGGACTAGAAGACCTCCAAGGTCCTTTCCAACTCTGTTATTTTGAGTAGGTGATAGTTGATAAATACATGATAGATCAAGGGTGGGCGATTATGACCCCTTTATGAACTGGGGGCTTCGACTCCCAGAATTCCTGAGGCAGCATGGCTGTCTTAGGAATTCTGGGAGTTGAAGTCCACAGGTTGTAAAAGGGCCACAGTTGCCCATCCCTGTGATAGATGATAGATAGATAGATAGATAGATAGATAGATAGATAGATAGATAGATAGATAGATAGATTACGTAGGAAGAACCTGGCTAAAGAGAAATAGATAGATAGATAGATAGATAGATAGATAGATTACGTAGGAAGAACCTGGCTAAAAAGAAATAGATAGGAAGATAGATAGATAGATGATAGATAGATAGATAGATAGATAGATAGATAGATAGATAGATAGATAGATAGATAGATAGTTTATGTAGGAAGAACCTGGCTAAAGAGAAATAGATAGAAAGATAGATAGATAGATAGATAGATAGATAGATAGATAGATAACGTAGGAAGAACCTGGCTAAAAAGAAATAGATAGAAAGATAGATAGATAGATAGATAGATAGATAGATAGATAGATAGATAGATAGATAGATAGATAGATAGATAGATAGATAGTTTACGTAGGAAGAACCTGGCTAAAGAGAAATAGATAGAAAGAAAGAAAGAAAGAAAGATAGATAGATAGATAGATAGATAGATAGATAGATAGATAGATAGATAGAATGTTTCCCCGAAAATAAGACCCTGTCTTATATTTTTTTGAACCCTGAAATAAGCATTTGGCCTTATTGCCATGCACTCAAAAGCCTGATTGGGCTGATTAACAGGGGTTGTCTTATTTTGGGGGAAACAGGGTAGATAGATAGAAATAGACGTGATAATAGATGATAGGTAAATAATTAGATGAGAGAGAGAGGTAGATAGGTAGATAGTTAGATGATAGAAAGATAGAAAGATAGAAAGATAGAAAGAAAGATAGAAAGATAGCAGGGTGGGGGGAGGAAGAGAGAAATAGAGAATAGGCGTGGAAACTCTGTGACTCTCCTGGGCAAAACAACACAAGCCCCGTTGTAAAATCGCTACGGAGTCCCTCTGCCCTCCTCTGCCCCATTGCCCAACAACTTGGAAATGTCTGCACGACTCTCCCCGGGGATCCAGCCACACCAGCTGAAGATGAAAATATGCCGAACGCTTTATGACCATGTAAGAGGAATAAACATGTCTTTCCGGTAAATCGCTCTCCACTCTCGGAGTTCTTGGCGAAAGGCTCTGTCGGAGACTGCCAGTTTTAATCATCTCCTGGCTGCGGGTAACTTTGGAGCAAGCCGTCATGGCAGCCTTTCCCTCTTCGCTTTCCTTCTGGCTGACTAATTGAACAAATTGTTAGCTCCACCGATCTCCCTTCCTTCAGAGGTCTCGGAGTCCCTGGCTGCGAGCAAAATAGCACAAAGTTCAAAGGGAGAACATGCTGTATTTGAGCCGCGGCCATGCCACGGAACGGGCATGGGTTCTGCCATCCGGACAAATAACTCGCTGGGCAAAATTCTGCCAGCTGGGCTCAGAGGTCCTTGTGGTTTAATTCTCATCTGCAGCTTTTTCTTGTGAAGGTTGCGACCGTCAAAACCTTAAAACTAAAACATTATATACCCACGTTTCCCCCGAAAATAAGACCGGGTTTTATCTTAATTTTTGCTCCAAAAGACGCATTAGGGCTTATTTTCCAGTTAGGTCTTATTTTGCATCTGTCTGGCTGACAATCTTAACTGGGGTTTATTTCGGAGTAGGGTTTATATTACGAGCATCCTGAAAAATCATGCTAGGGCTTATTTTCTGGTCAGGTCTTGTTTTCAGGGAAACACGGTACATATATGTACACGGACACATAATTAAAGGTAAAGGTTCCCCTCGCACATATGTGCTAGTCGTTCCCGACTCTAGGGGGCGGTGCTCATCTCCGTTTCAAAGCCGAAGAGCCAGCGCTGTCCGAAGACGTCTCCGTGGTCATGTGGCCGGCATGACTCAATGCCAAAGGCGCATGGAACGCTGTTACCTTCCCACCAAAGGTGGTCCCTATTTTTTTACTCGCATTTTTTTACGTGCTTTCGAACTGCTAGGTTGGCAGAAGCTGGGACAAGTAACGTGAGCTCACCCCGTTACGCGGCGCTAGGGATTCGAACCGCTGAACTGCCGACCTTTCGATCGACAAGCTCAGCATCTTAGCCACTGAGCCACTGCATCCCTATAGACATACACATACATATACACTTGGGAAGACACTTGGAATTGAGTTTAATTTTCCATGATTCAATCCCTCCTGTTTTTGCCAATTGGGGAATTCTGGGTGTTGAAGTCTATCCATTTTAAAATGGCCACAAGTGGAGAAACATTGACCTATACAGAAAGGGTGACTTTGCATCACACCCATCACACCAATACACAAACACAAATTAACACTCGCCCTCGTCGCGGTGGTGTTTTAAAATGCATGTGCTAGACTTCCAGCTCAGTTAATTCAGGGGGTTGTGTGAATCAGGGGTGAAATGTAAAATTGGTTACTACCGGTTCTGTGGGCGTGGCTTGGAAGGGGGGTTAATGTGACTGGGTGGGCGTGGCCAACTTTTTTTTAAAAAAATACTTTTCAAAGCATTTTTTCTAATGCTTTGAAAAGCCTCTCTGCCGATCAGGGAACTCAGCTGGGATCGTCAGAGACTTTTCAAAGCATTTTTTAAACCACCTCTTCAACCAAGAGGTTGCAGAAAAAAATGCTTTGAAAAGCCTCTGACAATCCCAGCTGAGCTGGGCATCATCAGAGGCTTTTTTTTTTTTTTTTTACTTTTAAAAGCATTTTTTCGTCGGAAGAGGTTGTAGAACAAATGCTTTTAAAAGTTAAAAAAAAAAGCTTCTGATGATCGTGCAGCTCAGCTGGGCATGGTGGGGGTGGGCGCAGGGATTTTTGTTACTGGTTCTCCGAACCACCACCCGCCATCGCTACCGGATCGGATGATCCGGTCCGAACCGGGAGCATTTCTCCCCTGGTGTGAATGCAAAATACTCTCTTAGCCCAGCCAGCTTCCCAAAGGTTTTTGTTTCAAAAATCATTTTAGGAAGTCATTTTCAGAAGCTCTCAGAAGAAACAAGAGGACAAGACATGAAATGAAAGAGGAAAGAAAAAAAGACATCTTTTACGAAGACTTGTTAGGATGAATAAATAAGGTTCCAGGATCAACTGGGATCCAGATGATTAAAATCCAACCCTCTCCTCCTCCCTGGCGACTTCATAGTCACTTCCTTGGGACAGTGGTTCTGTTCCCGCAAGACAGAAAGAAGACTTATGTTTAGATCCGTGATGAAACGCAGATGTTCGTCTTTTGAAATCCTCAGGGGAGACGCGTTTCCTGAAGTCCTCTATTTTTAGGAGAGGTCCTTACAACAGATTGGTCTGATGAATTCCAGCTTTTTGGAAAGGCTCTGGGAAGCCGGGGCTTCCAATGACATGTCAATGGAGCCAAGAGGTCCCCTTCGGTGGCAGCACAGGAGCTAAGCGCTTCAGCATGAGCTGGGAAGTCGAAATTCAGCAAGGACAGAAGTCTATCTATGATTCTACCATTAGCAATAGCAATAGCACTTCGACTTATATACTGCTTCACAGTGCTCTCCAGCCCTCTCTAAGCGGTTTACAGAGTCAGCATATTTTCCCCCAACAATCTGGGTCCACCTTGGAAGGATGGAAGGCTGAGTCAACCTTGAGCCTGGTGAGATTCGATCTGCCAAACTGCAGCTAGCAGCAGAAGTAGCCTGCAGTGCTGCACTCTAACCATTGCACCACCTCGGCTCTTCATACAATTCATACAATTGGAAAATTGGAGAATCATAGAAACATAGAATCACAGAATCATAGAAACAGAATCACAGAATCACAGAATCACAGAATCACAGAATCACAGAATCACAGAATCACGGAATCACAGAATCACAGAATCACAGAATCACGGAATCATGGAATCACAAAATCATAGAATCATACAAACATAGAATCACAGAATCACAAAATCATGGAATCATAGAACTATAGAATCATGGAAAAAGAATTACAGAATCACAGAATCATTGAAACAGAATCACAGAATCACAGAAACATAGAATCATAGAAACGTAGAAACAGAATCACGGAATCACGGAATCATAGAAACACAGAAACATAGAAACATAGAAACAGAACCATAGAAAAAGAACCAAAGAATCACAGAATCACAGAATCACAGAATCACAGAATCACAGAATCATAGAACTATAGAACTATAGAATCATAGAAAAAGAATCACAGAATCACAGAATCACAGAATAACATAATCACGGAATCATAGAACTATAGAACTATAGAATCATTGAAACAGAATCACAGAATCACAGAATCACGGAATCACAGAATCACAAAATCATAGAATCATACAAACATAGAATCATGGAATCGCAGAATCACAGAATCACAAAATCATGGAATCATGGAATCACGGAATCATAGAACTATAGAATCATGGAAAAAGAATCACAGAATCACAGAATCATTGAAACAGAATCACAGAAACATAGAATCATAGAAACGTAGAAACAGAATCACGGAATCATGGAATCATAGGAACACAGAAACATAGAAACATAGAAACAGAACCATAGAAAAAGAACCAAAGAATCACAGAATCACAGAATCACAGAATCACAGAATCACGGAATCATAGAACTATAGAACTATAGAATCATAGAAAAAGAATCACAGAATCACAGAATCATAGAAACAGAATCACAGAATCACAGAATCACGGAATCACAGAATCACAAAATCATAGAATCATGGAATCATGGAATCACGGAATCACAGAATCACAAAATCATGGAATCATGGAATCAAGGAATCATAGAACTATAGAATCATGGAAAAAGAATCAAAGAATCACAGAATCATTGAAACAGAATCACAGAATCACAGAAACATAGAATCATAGAAACGTAGAAACAGAATCACGGAATCACGGAATCATAAAAACACAGAAACATAGAAACATAGAAACAGAACCATAGAAAAAGAACCAAAGAATCACAGAATCACAGAATCACAGAATCATAGAACTACAGAATCATAGAAAAAGAATCACAGAATCATTGAAACAGAATCACAGAATCACGGAATCATGGAATCACAGAATCATAGAACTATAGAATCATAGCAAAAGAATCACAGAATCACAGAAACATAGAATCGTAGAAACAGAATCACGGAATCACAGAATCACGGAATCATAGAAACATAGAATTATAGAATCATAGAAAAAGAATCATGGAATCATGGAATCACAGAATCACGGAATCATTGAAACATAGAATCATAGGGCTGGAAGGGATCTTGGAGGTCTTTTAATCAAACGCTCTGCCCAAGGCAGGAGACGTTATACCATCCCGGTCAAATGGATGTCCAATCTTGGAATCCTCCAGCGATGGAGCACGCAGAACCCTAGGAGGCAATCTGTTCCATTGATTAATTGATCTCCCAGTCAGGAAACTCCTCCTGAGTTCCAGGTTGGATCTCGCTTTGAAGAGCTTCCGCCCACTGCTTCTTGTCATGCTCTCAGGTGCTTTGGAGAATAAATTGATCCTCTCTTCTCTATAATACTTAGAAGAGAAGATGAACTATAACCATCTATAAGCAGTATCTGGAAAACAGCGCAGGGATTAATAGCCGCCATCATGATTTGTCGAACAGACGTTTTGGTGACAATGACTTCATTTTTTTGATTAACCATTAGTTGATTGGGGGTATGCAGTGGACATAATATATCTTGATCTCAGTGAAACATTTGATGGGAATACCCGATAGTTCCCTGCACTGTTTTCAAGATATTTTTAAGGTGCTTTGGATTTCACCAACAGACTCTAGTTTTCCAGTTCCTCCTTCTGATTTTTTTGAAAGATTCTCACAGAGTCTTCTTTAACTAGATTTATTGAGGGAGAATGGCCATTAGATTATAGAAATCCCTGGGATTTCATTCTCTTTTAAAGAACAAAATTAGGACAGAGGAATTGGCTATTTGTTTTCCTTTTAATGAAAGGATCTGCAGAGGCGCTAAGCTTGCCTCATCCCGGCTGCCATCTTGACTTTTCTGACTCCCTCGGACAGTCCTTCCTTTGCTCAACTACTGAGTGCGTCACGCTCTCTGAGGGAGACCGAAGTTCCCTTTAAGAAACTGCTTTTTAAAAAACAAAGAAGAAGAAATAATCCCCAGAATTAACACAGGAAGTGGGTGGAAAACTATTAATAATTCTCTGATCTTTTTGGAAAA